GGCCTTCGCGACTAGGAGTGGGCAACTTCGCTGTTTGGTGATGATGAGTGGGAGGAGATCCACAAGGAACACATGGCGCAGGAGAAGGCGGAAGAGGAGAAACAACGAACCGCTGCGGCGAAGAAGGCGGAACGGGAAAAGGCGAAGGGCAAAGCGTCGAAACGCAAGGAGCAGAAATGAGGGGGCATGTACCTTAAGGGTGGGGCGGTTTAGTTATTTGGGTACTTTATTCCGGTTGTACTGAATATGCACTACAGGCACTTGTCTGTCTCTGTAGAAGCCCGATTTGGGGCTTGTATGCCACCTTCTTCCCTGGACGCGCTGTTTTTCGTAGAATGTTTTTCTGGTGTATGCAATGAAGCACACATCGATGGTATACACCGGGCGAAATTCTGCGGAGTCATGTCGTATCGTATACGATGTTATTCTATAGAGCGGCGTCGATGAATTCACTCTCACGATTGTAGATGTGTGTTCTTAGGTCACTCGGTAGACTTTTGCGTGGATTTATTCAGTCTCAGCATATGTTTCTGGGCAAAGGAGTGTCATATTCTACTAGTAGCAACGAAGATCCTATCCATGACGGTAGATATTATCAATACGTGGGTTTTTCTGTGGTATAGTGGCGTTTCCAATTTGCCTCCAGAATTCGGCGTCGAGGAATTCAATCTCCATAGCAGAAAGGTCTGTGCATAGGAATACCGTATACGTTCTTAACAAGGTGCTCCCTAAGACAAGATGTTATGCGATTGTTTAGCCCCATACTTCTACCTCCTCGTAGAAGCCGAGTATTAAACGTAGATTAAGTGTCGTAGAAGGCCGTCCTGTCGTCAATTATTTTATTCGCCTGGCCCTCCCTTTGATGGTGAGTTCTATCGGCTGCATTGCTAGCTCCATACGCGCCCTACAAATTTTGCTAGTGTAGTGAAGGTTTGCAGAGCAAAAATACATCTCTCATTGTATTGTATACAACAACACCTATATTTATACACGATTAAATAAAAAAAACGAAAAGGAAAATCTTTTTCTACTGCGGTACTAACAAGACCTCCAAAGAACCCGTCTGCCTCTATCACTCCTGGCCGCCAGTGCCGGTGTTCTCCTCCGTCGACGCATCCTTCGTCGCGTTCCCCTTCGCGGACGATTTCTTGGTTTTCTTCTCCTTATCCGCCCCTGTTGTGGTATCCCGGCCGCCCAACTTCTTCTGCAGGACTCCAAGCCAGACGCCCTGGTGCTGGCGAAGGCCTCTTGATGCCATGCTGCATAGGCACCAAGAGGTCACCACCTTTGCCACCACCCTCGTCATCCGCTTCGCATCCTCGGCCGCTCGCGACTCTGCCGGAAGCGCTTTCAGCAGCGCATCCGACAGGGGCAGAATCCACGCTTCCTTGTCATGCTCCTGATCTTTTACCGACCTCATCGCCTCAACCGCAACGCAAGCAACCGAGGGTGCAAGCGTCGCAAGGGCATTGTGGACGGCAGAGGGCACATCGGCCGCAGAAGATGACGAGGCAGCCGACGAGGCGGTGGCAGCAGTGGACGATCTGGCAGCAGAAGATGCTATGGCCGTAGAAGTTCCACGTGCAGCTGTTGTTGCGCCCGTCTCCCACTGGGTCTAGACCACATTCGTGGATGCGGCCCACATTACAGACAACGTGGCGGCAAGTTCGATTGCGTGTTCTTCCGTCGAATAGCCGTTTTCACCCTCCACGCCTCCCACCATCTTCTGCCACGCAGTTATTCCGACACCAGCGCAGGCAGCTACCTGAAAGCCATCCCCCTGCTGCTGCCGAAGAGCCGTGTTGGTTTGAACGAGTGAGAATCTGCACAAGACACCAGTGTCGCAAGATCAGAACCATCGAACTTCGCGGGTGTTTAGAAGTTGCAACTGTCCATCACATAAACACTCACCCGTCCGGTTTGTCCAGGTGGAGTTCGTTGATGACGCTCCACACCCTTGTTGGAAGCCACGTTGTGAAGTCGAGGTCTTCCCGCCACTTGTTAATACGGTTTGGATTCATGCCGTATGCCTGCATGTCAATATCCGGGAAGTAGAACTTCCAGCAGACTGCGACCGTGTATGCCCTCTCCCACACCGTTTTGTGAGAGCCGAGGTTCCGCTTCCAGCCGCCGACGGTCTGCTCAGACGTCCACTTCTGCAAAGCTCCCTCGCCCCGTTGAGAGAACCCGCTTCCCCTGAACGGCAGGCAGACACCCAAAGTCTTACCCTTGTCGTCCACTGCGGCGTTTTTCCTGTTGTCACACTTGTCGATCTTCATCCCTTTCTTTTCCCCTTGGATTATGGGTATCAACTCCTGTATTCCAGCTGCACGCCGTCTCTTAGCCGCATGACCCTCCGGCTCCCTGTCCTCTTGTCTAGGCCGCCTCCTGGACACCTCTACATTCCGTACAGGAACACTAGCCACGCCCTCTGCTACATTCGCCTCCCCGCTCTCAATCAACAGCAAACTCCCCAGCCCCTCAGCTATTTCCTCCTCGGCTCCTGTCCAGGTCCCCTCCCCCTGCATGGTCAAATCCTCCTCTTCCATCTCCCTTGCCAATCGTTCCGTCTCTTCAGCCATCGCCTTTGCCTTTGCCTCCAGTTGCCGCTGCTGTTCCGCGTAGGATGCAAGTCTGGCCCTCTTCTCTGCTCGGCACTGCTCCGACTTCTGCAGGCGCTCCATCTCCTGCAGTTTCGCCCTCTGCTGCCGCTCGGCCTCTTCTGCATCCTTCTTCTGCGCTTCCTCCTTCTGCAGGCGCTCCATCTCCTGCTGTTTCGCCCTATGCTGCCGCTCGGCCTCCTCTGCCTCCTTCTTCTGCGCTTCCTCCTTCTGCAGGCGCTCCATCTCCTGCTCTTTCGCCCTCTGCTGCCGCTCCGCCTCCTCTGCCTCCTTCTGCGCTTCCTCCTTCTGCAGGCGCTCCATCTCCTGCTGTTTCGCCCTCTGCTGCCGCTCGGCCTCCTCTGCCTCCTTCTTCTGCGCTTCCTCCTTCTGCAGGCGCTCCATCTCCTGCTGTTTCGCTCTCTGCTGCCGCTCGGCCTCCTCTACCTCCTTCTTATGCGCTTCCTCCTTCTGCAGGCGCTCCATTTCCTGCTGATTCGCCCGCTGCTGCCGCTCGGCCTCCTCTGCCTCCTTCTTCTGCGTCTCCTCCTTCTGCAGGCGGTCCAATTCCTGCTGTTTCGCCCTCTGACGCCGCTCTACCTCCTCTGCCTCCTTCCTCTGCCTCTCCTCCTCCTGCAGGCGCGCCATCTCCTGCTTTTTCTCCCTCTCCTGCCTCTCGGCCTCCTCTGCATCTTTCCGCTGCGCCTCCTCCTTCTGCAGGAGCGCCATCTCTTGCTGTTTCTCCCTCTCCACCCGCTTTGCTTCCTCTGCCTCCTTCCTCTGCGCATCCTCCTTCTGTCGCCGATCTCCCTCCGTTGCCTTCCTACCCTGCTCCTCCTTTTGCCGCCGCTCTGCGTCCAATCTCAGAACCATTGACAGCCGCTTTTCCACCTCACTTAGCATCCCCTCCTTCCACCCCTTAATCCCCGTCTTCATCTCCTTCACAGCCTCCATCACTTCCTTCATTCCCGCCTCCACCTCCTTCTGCCGTCGCTCTTCCTCCTGATGTTTGTTCTTCCTCCGCCGCTCTGTGGCCTCTACATCCTTCCTCTTCACCTCCTCCTCCTTCCGCCATTGCTCGTCCAGTTGTTTCCTCTTGTGTCTCTCCTCGTCGTCCGCCACTTGTTTCCTCTTCGCGTCCTGCTGTTGTCGCCGCTCCGCGTCCACTTGCCTCTCCTTCTTCTGCCGCTCGGATTCTTCTCGCAAAACCGCGCTCAACCTCCCCACAATCTGGTTTACCATCCCATCCTTCATCTCCTTCATTTCTGCCTTCATCTCCTTCATCATCGCCTCCTTCATCTCCTTCATTCCCTCTCTCATCTCCTTCTGCCAACGCGCTTCCTCCTGCTGTTGTTCCTTCTTCCGTCTCTCTGCGGCGTCTGCTTCCTTCCTCGTGGCCTTCTGCCTCCGCTCCTCGTCCTGCAGTCTATCCCTGTTCCGCCGCTCAGAGTCTTCTCTCAGAACCTCTCTCAACCTCTCTTCCACCCTCTTTAACGTGCCCTCCGCCATCCCCCCTCCCGACTGGCGAACCTGATCACTCATCCTTACGATACTCTCCTGCAAGTTGGAGAGTCTCGTGTCCACCTCCTCGCGAAACCTGGCCGCCGTTTCAGCTTGGCGCCGCCGTTCCTCGTTTCCATGGCGGACTTCTTCCAGGTTGGCCAGGGCGTCGCGACAGTAATGGACGGTCAGATCGGCCACATCGCGACTGATGCTGCTGTTGCGGGCCGCCAAGTTGCAGAACGTCTGCGTCACCATTCGGGCTAAGAGCGTCAGACGACGCGTTACCTCTGCTGGGCTTATGTCCCAGCTTTCGGCCTCGACGAACCTGTCACCTTGTTCGACCAGTACTGTACTCGTCCGATGCAGCATCCGCCGTATTGCCGTCTCTGCCTCGACCCACTCTACCTGCCAAAACGCTTCTGCCACCCCGCCTTGGCCGAGATTCCTCTCCACTGCTCTCTGGTGAAGGGTGGGCCGCCTCTGCCTGTTGAGATCCACTGTATCCCTAGGCGCCCCATCGTCTGCCACCCTCCATGGCCCCTCTACCCCGGTTCCTGGTCCCCGCGTCGGACTTCCTCCCAAAAATATCCGGACTGCCGGATGTACCGTATCCTCCTCATTCTGCTCCTCTTCTGTTTCCAGCGCATCTCCCTCGTAGTGCCCCACTCCAGCCTCCGGGACGACACGAACCTCCTCCATAGTATTTTGACGCCCTGTCTCTGCCATGCTCTGCGTCTCTCGGTATGCGAATACCTGCGACGCTGCCTCCTCGTTATGCTGCCCCTCTTCCTCTGCGATGATGTGCCCCTCAGCACCCGCCGTCTCCCGTCCCTCTGCCTGTACCATTTTATTCCCATCTGAACCGTCCTCTCCATCTGGCTTCCTACGTGCGTCTGCCTAAGCCTGCTTCTGCTCCTCGGCCTCTGCCATCTTCTGCGCCTCACCCTCCGCCTTCTTCTGCGCCTCTACAATAGCCTTCTTTCGCGCTTCTGCCCGAGCCAGTTGTAGTGCCTCTTCCGCAGCCTGTTTCTGCTCCTCTGCCTCCGCCTTCTGCCGCGCCGCTGCTTCTGCCTTATTCCGAGCCTCTCCTTCCTTATGTGCGTCTGCCTCCTCCATATGCAGCGCCGCTGCCTTATCCTTCTCCCTCGCCGCTGCCTCTGATTCCTTCTGCGCCTCTGCCTCAACCATGTTCGGCGCCGCACCCTCCTCCTTCTGCAGCGCCGCTGCCTCTGATTCCTTCTGCGCCTCTGCCTCAACCATGTTCGGCGCCGCACCCTCCTCCTTCTGCAGCGCCGCTGCCTTTGATGCCTTCTGCGCCTCTGCCTCAACCATCTTCGGCGCCGCACCCTCCTCCTTCTGCAGCGCCGCTGCCTCTGATGCCTTCTGCGCCTCTGCCTCAACCATCTTCGGCGCCGCACCCTCCTCCTTCTGCTGCGCCGCTGCCTCAACCATCCTGGGCGCCGCACCCTCATCCTTCTGCTGCGCTGCTGCCGCTGATTCCTTATGTGCGTCTGCCTCATCATTCTGCTGCGCCGCTGCCTCATCCTTCTGGCTCGCCATTGCCTCTGATTCCTTCTGCGCCACTGCCTCCACTACCATCAGCTCGACTGCCTCCGACGTCAGCTCTGCTGCTGCACCCGCTTCTTTACGCGCGACTGCCTCCGCACCCTTGACCGCTTCTGCACCCACCTTCTGCTGCGCCGCAGACTCTGCTTCCTTTGGCGCCTCGTCCTCTGCCGTAAGTGCCGCCTCTGCATCGACGAACCGATGGGCCGCATCCTCTGCATTCTGGTGCGCCTCTACCTCCACCATCTTATGAGCCTTAGCACCAGCGTTGCTCTCCTCCTTCTTTTTCGCCTCTCTCGAATTCTCTGGCACGTCGACGTCCCCTCTCCGGGCCTCTTCAGCCGCCTTCCGCTTTAGGTTGGGCAAGCAAACTTTCACGTATCCCCTATCCTCCTCGATATGCTGCCGCACATTGCTGGCGAGCTCCTCTCCTGCCTCTCCCACGTGTGCCCTTGCAGCGGCTCGTGCCCCACGCTCCCATGCTTCACGTATGTCTCCAGTTCCCGGGAAAGAGACAGTAGGATCGGTGTCGCCATCACTTCGCCGTTGCATCTCTTCAGCCCGTCTACTCTTGGCTTCTGCTTCGCCCATCCGCTTTTCATCAGCCACCTTCCTCCACTGCTCCTCTGCCTGTTCGACCTGACTTGGCAGCTGTGGATCTTCTACACCCTCCTCGCCTTCATCTGCTACACTTGCCAAGTCGGTCTCCGTCCGTGCTTCGCGTTCCCGCGGCCTCCTAACCCGATCAGCAAACCTGAGCTGCCTAACTCCAGACCTATCACGCTCGTCCGCAGTGGCTGACCTTGATGTCGGGCCACTCAGTAGTGCATCCCCCGGTGCAGGTCGGCGGGAATATGAAATAAACCCAACTCTTGGATTTGCGTCCCGGTTTGCGGCAGGTACGTCTATCTGTCCCTCTACCGCTTCGGATCTGTTCTGTGCGGGTGCGCTCTCTACCACTCGAGCACAGTGGGTCGTCATGACTGCATCCGGGGCGGGACAGAGCTGGACTCCTTGCAGGTCGAAGAAGGCCCTGCAGGTCGACTCCAGCATACTCCGAATTTCTTTCGCGCAGTTTTTCCCCTTCCCTAAGACCATCATCGGCTCTACAGACTGAATCGCCATGACATCCCCCCATTTGTCCAGCAACTTGCTGAACACATGGGTAACGTGCAGCCCGGAACCCACTTGCCTCTGTCCCTGAACCTTGTTGATCTGCAACATGTGTGTGAAAAGGTGGTTGTCAGACACTCCCGTTACTTTTTACAAGCTTAATATCATACAACGCTTAAATCATAAAAATAGAGCCTCCTTCCTTACCCTGCCTTCCTCCAGAATCAAATCATCTAGGCAAGCCCTCAAATCTTTCTGCACCGCTTCGGCGTGGCTGCCAGAGACCCTGCGACCTCGGCTGTATTCCACATCTAGTTGTCGGATAAGCCAGCTGCAGGGCAAGGGGGTCGCAAATAATCAATAACATGCGTCCATACAAACCGCACATCTGATTAAGGAGTGATACTTACTCGAACACCTCCTTGGCATGCTCGCTGTGGCGATGGGTTGGGATTGCAGATTTAGGGTCGAAGTGTAGCAGACGCGTACGGTACTCTCCGCGGGGATGTGCTAACAAATCTTGCGGGTTCATCAGCACCATGAGACTGATCGCCGTCGAGTGAACAACAGGGACTCTGCGGTACATGGAAGTTTGGATTAGCAAGATAGCTGGTGTCATCGACAAACGTTGCGGATCCATGTCAGGAAACTCACTCTGATATCATGGGTATTAAAACCATCTGGTAGTCCAACAGCGACCAATGTTCGCTGCCACAACCGGGGACACGCGGGACGGCAGACCTCAAACGCCGATGCTCGGTAGGAGCCAGAATCTTTATGTCCTTGCGAACGCGAGGATCCCCAATCTTGTCCTTGGCAACCTCCCTGCATCCAAGCCGACATGTCGCAGAGGTAAGAAGATAGCAGGTGCCTGTCTAAAAAAACAAGGGTTCAACGTGACGATGAAGTCTGCGTGCGTTACAAACCGCGCTTGGATACATACACAAGGCCGAAAAGTAACAACGCCTCGTTCCACTCTTCCTGACGAGCGATTAACCTTTCATAAGACTCCCGCCCTAGTCGTACCGACAATCCGCAGCCGTCTGTGATTAGCTGGGACGACATCGCGTAAGTATGCCAGAAGATGGCAGGTAGCTAAACGGTTACTACCATACACTATCCGCCTGCAGGATTAGAGGCCGACACTAGAATGAGAGGGAAGCTTGTGAGGCTAGTTGTGGAACCTCGACTCAGATTGGAATGGCGAGAATGACGTTGAGCTTTGGTGCACCCACCCTGATCCCAACTTCTGCTTCGCTGGTAGAATTGGTTGTGCTCTGTCCTCAAAGAAGGTGGGAAAGGCTTTGCTACAAACGCCAGGCGTAGTAAGAATTTTCTGCCCCCTGGCTCAAAATATTAGGCTTCTCACCATTTCCCTTCGAACATCTGCGAACTATTCTTTGCATACTTCTGCAATGATTTACCTATTTGTCGCCAGATTGTTCTCCTAAATGTTTTACTTCAGTTGCTGGTTGGTTGATTGCCAACCTTATATGCCATGTTAGCATATTGCATGTTCTGTGGTGCATTGCATGGTCTCAGCTTTGCCTCGACCTAGTACGAAATGGTGACGGGCAGCCCCTAAAAAAAAAGAATGGTGTCCTGTGACAGGTTAATGACAGGCTGCCACGTATAGCTATCCCATCCGCATGGTTCCCTCCGCAACCTGGAAATAGAGCTGTCTCTGCGACCTGTCACACGTGTCAGAAACCGAATGACACCCTATATCCGAGATTACCGCTATAGGGGTACTCGTGTAGCACGTATAGTACTAGTTTTTGTAACCCATAAAACAAACACAAGCATGAACTTTGCATGATTAGCACACCCAATTCTATAACGGGTAATCCTATAAGTGTGAGATGAGTGCCCTATCATTAGCACCCGTATAACAGTGGCATTTGAATACAAAACAAATGTTGTACATTTCACCAAAGTGATCTGCTCCCGCCTGCAGAGGAGAGAGTGAAAAACATACTACACGTCTACGAAAGGAGGTGAATTTTAGGTGGGGGTCTGGAATATGTGTGGTGAGAGTCCCCTATAAAAATCAGCTCATTTGCTCAAGGAGAAGTGGGTCATTTCAAATGAAACCTGATTCCAGGCAATTCTGCATAGAATTCTGCAGACTGCTGCACAACAAGGCTTAAAAAACATATCAAACCTTGGGTACATGAAATGAATTTCAGGTGGGGGTCTTGAATATGTGTGGTGAGAGTCCCCTATAAAAATCAGCTCATTTTCTCAAGGCGAAGTGGGTGATTTCAAATGAAACCTGATTCCAGGCAATTCCGCACAGAATTCTGCAGACTGGTGCACAACAAGGCTTAAAAAACATATCAAACCTTGGGTAAATGCAATGAATTTCAGGTGGGGGTCTTGAATATGTGTGGTGAGAGTCCCCTAAAAATCAGCGCATTTGCTCAAGGCGAAGTGGGTGATTTCTATTGAAACCTGATTCCAGGCAATTCTGCACAGAATTCTGCAGACTGCTGCACAACAAGGCTTAAAAAACATATCAAACCTTGGGTAAATGAAATGAATTTCAGGTGGGGGTCTGGAATATCTGTGGTGAGAGTCCCCTATGAAAATAAGCTCCTTTTCTCAAGGAGAAGTGGGTGATTTTAAATGAAACCTGATTCCAGGCAATTCTGCACAGAATTCTGCAGACTGCTGCACAGCAAGGCTTAAAACACATATCAAACCTTGGGCAAATGACATGAATTTCAATTGGGGGTCTGGAATATGTGTTTGTAGAGTCCCCTATAAAAATCAGCTTATTTGCTCAAGGAGAAGTGAGTGTTTTCAATTGAAACCTGATTCTAGGCAATTCTGCACAGAATTCTGCAGACTGCTGCACAACAAGGCTTTAAAAACATATCAAACCTTGGGTACATGAAATGAATTTCAAGTGGAGGTCTGGAATATGTGTGCTAAGAGTCCCCTATAAAAATCAGCTCATTTGCTCAAGAAGAAGTGGGTGATTTCAATTGAAACCTGATTCCAGGCAATTCTGCACAGAATTCTGCAGACTGCTGCACAACAAGGCTTAAAAAACCTATCAAACCTTGAGTAAATGAGATGAATTTCAAGTGGGATTCTGGAATATGTGTGGTGAGAGTCCCCTATAAAACTCAGCTCATTTTCTTAAGGAGAAGTGGGTGATTACAATTGAAACCTGATTCCAGGCAATTCTGCACAGAATTCTGCAGACTGCTTCACAACAAGGCTTTAAAAACCTATCAAGCCTTGGGTAAATGAGATGAATTTCAGGTGGGGGTCTGGAATATGTGTGTTGAGAGTCCCCTATAAAAATCAGCTCATTTGCTTAAGGCAAATTGGGTGATTTTAAATGAAACCTGATTCCAGGCAATTCTGCATAGAATTCTGCAGACTGCTGCACAACAAGGCTTAAAACACATATCAAACCTTGGGTAAATGAAATGAATTTCATGTGGGGGTCTGGAATATGTGTGGTGAGAGTCCCCTATAAAAATCAGCTCATTTGCTCAAGGAGAAGTGGGTGATTTCAATTGAAACCTAAATCCAGGCATTTCTGTACAGATTTCTGTACCCGCCTACAGAATATAACATGAAAGGCATGGCAAACCTTGATGAAATGAAGTGAAAACTGGATAGGAATCAGGACTAGGTGTTATGACAGTGCCCTATCAAAATGGGCTCATTGGCCCAAGGAGAAGTAGGGTGATTTCACCAGACACATCACAGCAGGCAACTCAACACTAACTTCCTTGCAAGAAAAAGTCCACCAAATCGGTTTGCATATAGCTGAAAATGTTCAGGGGGGCTGGAACAGGTGTCATAACACTAAAAATGCTAAAAAAAATGGTCACCACATAACACATGTGTGTGATGCCCAGAGAATGACTTTACATGTGCTATGAGCAATCTTAGTTGACCCAAAAGTGACAAAATGGAACAAATTTGACAAAATAACAAACTCATGCCCGCTGGTAGAGGATATCAAGGAGATGTTGGAAATCCATGTTTGTGTGCAAATGACCAACAAATTATGGAGTTATGAGCCAAACCATATAGAATGTTGACTTAGCCATTTTGACATTCTGCTTGTCAGAATTACACCAAAGTGTCAACAACAAAGTTTATCTACAAATACTGTACAACAGTGGTTGCGACGTCGCTTTCGTGCGACCGTCGATAATCCAAACCGGTAGTGTAACCACTCTTGTGCCCATTTCGTTGCGCCATCAGGTGGTTTGGATTTTGTAAGATCCAACACCCTTTTGCGCCGAATCCGAGTCAAATCCGAGTAAAATCGTCTCGCCACGGGCAAAATGGAGTTTCGCCAAAAAAAATGAATCCCGGTCGAAGCAGAGGATCCGAGTGCTGCTTCCGTCTTTGGCCCGCCCTTCCCCCGTCAGGTGGTTTGGATTTCTAGGGATCCAGAAAATTTCACGGAGGCGTGAGCCAATCAAATGAGTTCCCTCTTCCTACTCCTTTTGTTTCGAACAGTGTTGTTTCCGCCGAACTCATCGCAGCGATTTCAAGCTGGGACGGCCTTCACAATTTTATATTTCGGTTTTAATCTGATTTTATCTCTCACTGCATGCTACAGTGGCGCAAGTGGCTCGTCCATCTCACATCTAAGGGTGTTGTTTGTCGCCGACACCGAACACAATGTGTTGATTAATTCAGTATAGGTAACCAATTTTGAGCACAAAATGTTAAAAAAAAATCCATTTGTATTAGACAGAGGCACCTGAGCTGCTTCTTTTCCCAGCATGTGCAGGCCTGTGCGCTGGAGGAACTAGTGCCAGTCTGAATGATCCCTCAAGCTGCAACCCTTCCCCCTCCACGACAACCCCAAAATGATTCCATTCCTTGCATCTCCTCCTCGAGTACTGATGGAAGGAGCAAAGAGCGTGGGAGCATGGGAGCATGAAAGCATGGGAGCATGG